AAAAAAAAAAAAAAAAAAAAAAAAGAATCAAGGGTTTGAAGGTGATAATGGAGTTGAAGGGAATTGAATATAGTTGTTTGAAATTGGGTATTAAGAGGGTGTAGGGGCACCTGGGTGGCTCAATCAGTTAAGCATCCAACTTTTGATTTTGGCTGGGGCCATGATCTCAGGGTTTTAAGACTGAGCCCCGCCTCAGCTCTGTGCTGATCATGGAGCCTGCTTAAGATTCTCCCTCTCCCTCTCCCTTTCCCTTCCTCCCTCTCCACAGGAGCTTGCATGCGTTCTCTCTCTCTCTCTCTCTCTCTCTTATGTATGTGAGAAAGGTTCAAGTTGCCAAGAAGCCATAGCATTAGAAGGATTACTTTCATGGATATTGAAATACTCAGGAATTATGCCAGTAGTATTCAAGACAGAGAGAGAGTGTCGGTAACTAAGGATATAAAATCTAATAGGGAATGGGAGAAAGGAGGTGGTGGTGATTATGGTAGACCGCCATAAGAAAGTGGAATATAAGTGGTCATTGAAACCATGAGTTCTTTTACATTTTTTCAGGGAGAGTGTGTGCTGTGTGTGGAGAGAGAGAGAGAGAGAGAGAGAGAACAAACCAATAACTGAGGTTTGAGTCTAAGTGTAATCTTCAAAAGAGGAAACTAATAAAGGAAAAATAGAATAGGAAGACTAGCTTTTTTAAGGATAGGAGGGCAAAAGATCAAGGAGACAGAAAATACAAATTGAAGGTAATGGTAAGAGAGTGATTCAATTGATGAATTGTGGATTCTAGATTAAAGAGAGAAAACTAAAAGGTACTAGTTAGTAGAAAATGGAAGGATCAGGTGGCTAGAGGTCCCAAAGAGGTTGAAGAATAAGAGATAGTGGTGTCACAGAAGAAGGAAGGGTCAACTGTCAGATGCTACAAAGATAAATACTGAAAAGAGTCCCTCAGATTTGACAAGTTGAAGGTCTAGGTGATTTTAAGGAAAGTTGTCTCTGCAGCAGAGGAGAGGTGGAACTAGACTGTTGTGAATTATGGAGCAAATAAGAGGAATAAGGAAGTAGTAGTATTGTCTAAAGAGACTATGAAAGGAAGGGTAGATAAAGTAACACACAGAGGAAGACATAACTAAAGGAAGGATTTCTAAGTTGAAGGGATGACTGGAGCATAATTATATGCTCGAGGAAGTAATATATAGCAGATAGGAAATTATTGATGGACAAAAGTCCCTAAGAAAGTAGTACTGGACAAGTTTCAGAGCAGAAGTAGAAAGATAAGCCTTAGTTAGCAATGGCACCTCTTTTACTGAAAGAAGAAAGAAAGATAAATTTAGATGAGTTTGTAGGATTTTGATGTAGATTTTAGATGAGTTTATAGAAAAATGTAATGACAACGGAGAAGTAATTTAAGGTGTTTTTACCTGATTGATCTTATTTTCTTAGAGATGTTGAAGATAAAGTCATTTAGACATTGTAGGAAGGAGGAGAGAGTAAAATACTTTCAAGGAATATAAATTTGAAATTCCACATGAATGGAATTCATTTATTTAAAAAATGCTTTTTTAGTGACCACACTATACTGGGTACTGTTGTGGGTTCTAGGAATATAGCAATTAACAAGACAAATTTCTTTTTTTTTTTTAAGATTTTATTTATTTATTTGACAGATAAAGATCACAAGTAGGCAGAGAGGTAGGCAGAGAGAGAGAGGAGGAAGCAGGCTCCCTGCTGAGCAGAGAGCCTGATGCATGGCTCCATCCCAGGACCCTGGGATCATGACCTGAGCTGAAGGCAGAGGCTTTAACCCACTGAGACACCCAGGCGCCCAACAAGACAGATTTCTTGCCCTGAAGATGCTTATATTCTAGTAAAGGAGTGATCAACAGGAAAAAGCATCCAGTTGTAATAAATGCTATGAAGAAAAATAAAATATGAAAAGTGGATTGATGGTTGTCATTTAAAAATATTTCATTCTTGTCTGATCTTTTATGATTTGAAAAGTAAAAGTATCATTTAAAATGTTTTCTTTGGGGGTCTGGGGCGCCTAGCTGGCTCAGTCAGTAGAGCACATAATTCTTAATCCCAGAGTCATGAGGTTGAGCCCCAAGTTAGGTATAGAGCCTACTTAAAATAAAAATCAAAAATTAATAAAAAAAATAAAATGTTTGCTTTGGAAACAGATTTCCTTTTTATAATCTGAAGGAATATCATCCTTTTTTTATAGAAATCCATAATACAATCATAGTACTAGAACTCTGTTAAGGAATGATAAGGAGGGTTTTTGTGTTAAGGAATTTGTAGAGTATGTAAAAGTAAAATCATATTTTTATCCTCCAGTATGCAAACGTTTTGATTTTATCTTCTCTTCTTACTAAAAATTATTATGCAATTGTTTAGACAGGAGCACAATATTCTTTCCAGGTTTTATTACTCATGCTTCATTCTGCCTATGTAGCTATACTGTACGCTGACTTATGCTTACTATGTGCCAAGGACTTCCTAACCATAATGTACAAATTAATCCATTTAATCCTCATAATAATCCATGAATAAGGCATTATTTAATATCCCCATCTTACAAATAAGGAAACTAAGACCTAGAGAAATCCGTTTAGACTTTGGATTGGACTGCCTGACTTCAAATTTCAACTCTAGGAGGAATATTTCCCTCTTATGCCTCTGTGATTTTATATAAAATGATATTTATAGCAGCCTCTTAAAGGTTGTGAGACAAAAGTGACAGAATGCAGGTAAATATTCTAGAACTCTGCTTACACAGGATGAACTCTCAAGTAGCTATTATTATTTCTTGTTTATATGTTCAGATTGTTTCCATGTTTCTAAATGAAAGTCTGCTTTTTTCTTGTTGGTTAGTTTTCCTTCAGTCATGGATCCTTTGTATTATGTTTTCTTTTCCTGATAAAGGAGCATTGGCCCACAGCCAAAGAAATCTATTAGCTTTACTAACACAGTAAAAGGAGGGCAAACAAAAGGATATCTTGGTGCAAACCAAAGCAGAATGGCGATGTCAAAAACCTTGATGGTTCTACCTGAGATAAAAACAGAAAAAATGAATATGCCCACCGTAAGGACACCCATACAGGTAATATTCTTTTTTTTTTTTTTAAGATTTTATTTATTTATTTGACAGGCAGAGATCACAAGTAGTCAGAGAGGCAGGCAGAGATAGAGGAAGGGAAGCAGGCTCCCTGCTGAGCAGAGAGCCCAATGTGGGACTCGATCCCAGGGCCCTGGGACCATGACCTGAGCTGAAGGCGGAGGCTTTAACCCACTGAGCCACCCAGGTGCCCCAGGTAATATTCTTTAGAATTCTGAGTTTCTTTGAAAATGGCACCATAAAGAACTTAACTGAAATGTTAAAGGTGGAAAATATACTGCTTTGAAATAACCAACTCACTTCTAATATCGATATATTGATTTTGTTAGAGTCTTCACCACATAACATATCTTACAGCATAGTATTTGCTGTTGGCTCCTATAATTCATTACTAATAATGAGAACATTAGAGTGGAGTGAGGAAAGTCTGTTCATGACCTTAAGAACTGGTAGTAATAATAGCTAACCTAGCTATAATATAGATAGTAAGGCTAACATCCATTCTCCTTTGCAATATATTCTAGAAAATATGGTAAAATAAATTGTCACAAAATTAGTTATCTCATTAGAAAACTAAGAATTGAATTTTTAAAACGTTTACTCATAATATATATACAGACAAGTATGTAATATATAAATCTGAATGGGCTAGGCAATGATACTTCTAGATATGACACAAAAAAACACAGTCCATTAAAGATAAAATTAGTAAATCAGACTCCATCAAAATGAGAGCTGCTTCTGGTCTTTGAAAGACATTGCTAAAAGAATGAAAAAAGAAGCCATACAGTGGGAAAAATTATTTATAAAGCATATATCTGATAAAGTACTTGGATCCAAAATATATAAATAATTCTCAAAACAATACTAAAACAACCTAATTTTTAAAACAAGCAAAACATTTTTTAAAGATTTGTTTTTATTTACTAGAGAAAGAGTGAGAGAGAGAATGAGCACAGAGGGAGAAGCACACTCCCTGCTGAGGAGAGTCACCCCCCGCTCCCCGCCCCAACTCGAGTCTCAATCCCAGGACCCTGAGATCATGGCCTGAGCTGAAGGCAGACACTTAACAACTGAGCCACCCAGACACCCCATGAGCAAAACATTTGAACAAATACTTCAACAAAGTACATATACAGATAGCAAATGAGCACATGATCAGCATTAGTCATTAGGGAAATGCAAATTGAAACTGAGATACTGCTGAACACCTATTAGAATGGCTAAAATTAATAAGACTGATCATACCAAATGTGGGCAAGTATGTGGAGGAATCAGAATTTTCATACACTGCTGGTAGGAATGGAAAATGAAAAACCATTTGGCAGTTTATTCAGTGTTAAATATATATCTACTATACCATCCAGCCATTCCACTTCTAGGTATCTACTGAAGAGAAAATAAAGTGGGGTGCCTGGGTGGCTCAGTCAGTTAAGCGTCTGCCTTTGGCTCGGTTCATGATCCTGGGGTCCTGGGATTGAGTCCCGTGTCAGGTTCCCTGCTCAGTGGGGAGGGTGCTTTTCCCTCTGCCTCCTACTCCCCCTTCTTGTACTCCCTCTCTCCATCTCTGGGAAATAAATAAAATATTTAAAAAAAATAATAAAAGAGAAAAGAAAGTATATGTTTATATAAAAACTAGGACACAAATGTTTATAGCATCTTTGTTTATAATAGCCAAAAAATGAAAACCAGCTAATATAATTTTAATAAGTGAATGCTATATATTTGCAAACATATTACATGTACCATTATCTCAGGCAACTATAACAAAGTACTTTTTGACTGGATGGTTTATAAACAAATTTACTTCTCAGAGTTCTGGGACTGGAAGCCCAGGATTAGAATGCCAACATGGTTGGGTTCTGGTGAGGACCCTTTTCCAGGTTGCAGATTGCTAAATTCTCAATGTATCCTGAATGTATTCCCAATGTATCACATGGTGGAAAGACATTTAGCTAACTCTCTGGCCTCTTCTCAGAAGGGTTCTCACTAATTCCATTCATGAGATCTCCACCTTCACGACCTAATTACTTTTCAAAAGTTCTACCATCCAGTACCATCACATTGGAATTAGGGAGCCAACATGAATTTTGGGTGTACAAAACATCCAGTCCATAACAATCATATAGTGTATGCATTTTATGTATTATGTGTATGTTATGCTTACATACAACACAAACATATCGTATGGTATTACAATATGTAGAAGGGATAGTGAGTGCATCATGACCAATTGCAGATAATGCATGCAAGTTTGTTCCAACATTTAAAAATCAATAGTATTTGCCATATTAATAAACTGGGAGAGAAGAATCTATGGGATCATAAGAACAGATAAAGAAAAAGCATTTGAAAAAATTTAATATCCATTCATTATTTAAAAAAAAATTTTTTAACCATATAGCTAATCTGAAAAAGGATTTTCTCTGGCATTCTGAAAAAACTACAACTAATGTCAAACTCAGTGATGAAAGACCGAAAGCTTTTCCCCTCAAATCAGAAACAACGCAAGGATTCCCACTTTTGATACTTTTCAGCATAGTAGTGGGTGTCCTAGCCAGAGCAATTAGTGAAGAAGAAGAAATAAAAACTGTCCAAAATAGAAAGGAAAACATAAATCTCAGTTTGCAGATGACATGATCTTATATGTAGAAAACTCCCAAAGATGCCACATTTAAAAACAAAAACAAAAACAAAAACTGAGAACTAGTAAGTTCAGCAAAGTTGTAATATAGAAAGTTAACACACAAAAATCAGTTGTGTTTCTATACCTAGCAATAAACAATCCAAAAAGAAAATTAAGAAAATAGATTTCCATTTACAATAGTATCAAAAAGAATAAAATACTTAGGAATAAACTTAACTAAGGAAGTGAAAGACTTGTACACTGATAACTACAAATATTGCTGAGAGAAATGAAAACAATAATAAATGGGAAAACATCCCTTGTTTATACATTAAAATATTTCTTTTAAAAGATTTCAGTTATTTATTTGACAGAGAGAGAGATCACAAGTAGGCAGAGAGGCAGGCAGAGAGAGAGGGGAAAACAGGCTCCCTGCTGAGCAGAGAGTCCAATGCAGGGCTTGATCCCAGGACCCTGAGATCATGACCTGAGCCTAAGGCAGAGGCTTAACGCACTGAGCCACCCAGGCATCCCTACATTAGAATATTTCTTCAGATACTAATAGTACCCAAAACAAGATACAGAGTCAATGCAATCCATATCAAAATCCCAGTAACATTTTTTGTGGAAATAAAATCTGTCCTAAAATTCATATGGAGTATTAAGAGACCCCAAATAGTCGAAACAGTCTTGGAAAAGAATCACAAAGTGGAAGGTCTCACATGTCCTGATTTCAAAACTTAGTATGAAGCTGTACTAATTAATACAGTGCATGACTAGCATAAAGACAGATATTTGGATCAATGGAATAGGATAGAGGGCCCAGAAATAACCCCTTACACACAATTTCAAATGATTTTTAACAAAGATATTAATTCTATGCAATGGGGAAAGGACAGTCTTTTCAACAAAGGTGTTGGAAAAACTGGATATCTACATGCTAAAGAATTATGTAGGATGCTTATATAAAAAAATAACTCCAAATGTATCACGTTCTTACAGCTGGAACTATAAAACTCTTAGAAAAGGGGTGCCTGGTTGGCTCAGTTGGTTAAGTATCCAACTCTTGGTTTTGGCTCAAGTCACGATCTCAGGGTCCAGGGGTAGAGCCCCAAGTCTGGCTCCATGCTTAGCTCAGACTGTTTATCCCTCTCCCTCCCCTCTGCCCCCCCTTTTAAAAATTGTGTTATGTTAGTCACCGTTACAGTACATCATTAATTTTTGATGTAGTGTTCCATGATTCATTGTTTGCATATAACACCCAGTGCTCCATACAATCTCTGCCCTCCTTAATACCCATCACCAGGCTCACCCATCCCCCCACCCTCCTCCCTTCTAAATTCCTCAGTTTATTTCCCAGCATAGAACTAAAGAGACCATGATTAAAGAAGTAAAAAGATGGATGATAACTGTCACACCCAATTCAGAAAACATCAATAAAGAGGCTCAACATCACTGATCATCAGGGAAATGCAAATCAAGCTACAATGAGATACTACCTCACCCTGTCAGAATGGCTAAAATCAACAATATAAGGAACAACTATTGTTGGCAAGTATGTGGAGAAAGGGAAACCCTCTTGTGCTGTTGGAAATGCAAACTGGTGCAACAACTCTGGAAAACAATATGGACCTTCCCCAAAAGGTTAAAAATAGACCTACCTTATAATCCAGCAATTGTACTACTAGGTATTTACCCAAAGAATAGAAAAATACCAATTAGAAGAGATACATGCACCCCAGCGTTTATAGCAGCATTATCTACAATAGCTAAATTATGGAGACAGCCCAAGTGTCCATTGACTGAAGAATGGATAAAGAAGATGTGGTGTATATATGTATACAATGGAGTATTACTCAGCCATAAGAATAGTGAAATCTAGTCATTTGCAACAACATGGATAGAGCTACAGAGTATTATGCTAAGTGAAATAAGTCAGTCAGTGAAAGACAAATACCATATGATTTCACTCATATGTGGAATTTAAGAAACAAAATAAATGAATAAATGAGGGGGAAGAAAAGAGAGAGGCCACCCAAGAAACAGACTCTGAACTATAGAGAACAAACTGATGGTTACCAAGGGGAGATCAGTGGGGTGATAGGTTAAATAGGTAATGGGGATTAAGTAGTGTACTGGTAAATGAGCACCAGGTATTACTTCGAAGTGTTGAATCACTATACTGTACACCTGAAGCTAATGTTACAATGTATGTTAACTAACTAGAATTTAAATAAAAACTTGAAAAAAATACTACATTGTATATTTGAAAATTCCTGAGAATATTGATTTTAAAAGTTCTCATCATGGGTCGCCTGGGTAGCACAGTTGCTTGGGCGTCCAACTCTTGGTTTTGGCTCAGATCTTGGTCTCAAGGTCCTGGGATCAGACGCACATCAGGCTCCCCACTCAGTATAGAGACTACTTAGGATTCTCTTCTCCCTTTGCCCCTCCCCGAATGCTCTCTGTCTCTAAAACAAATGAATAAAATCTTAAAAAAAAAAAATTCTCATCATAACAAAAAATCATTTTGTTTAACTATGTGAGGTGATGGATTTTAATTTATTTTGGTTAAAGATTTGTTATTTATTTTAGAGAGAGAGCAAGTGAGTGGGAGAGGGGCAAAGAGAGAAACCCCCCAAGTAGACTTCCTGCTGGGCATGGAGCCCCATATGGGGCTCAGTCTCATAACCCATGAGATCATGACATGAACCAAAACCAAGAGCTGGATGTTTAACCGACTGAGCCACCCACGTGCCCCTGAGGTGATGGATTTTATATAAACTTATTATTGTAATCATTTTGTAATATACATATATGTCAAATCATTATGTTGTACACCTAAAATGGATACAATCTTATGTGTCAGTTATATCTCAATTAAAATTAAAATGAAGTTTCTGGGTTGCACCAAAAAAAATTATAAAAAAAAACCAAATGGAAATTCTGGCTTTGAAAAGCACAGTAATCAAAACTTTAAACATTCACTAGAGAAGCTAAATAATAGATTTTAATTGACAGAAGGAAGAATTAGCCAACTTGAGAATAGGTCTATAGAGATTACACAAGCCAAAAACATAGTGGAAAAAAAGGATGAAGAAAATGAATAGAGGCTCAGAAAGGGTGATACCAACCAAAAGCAACAGAATACAGACTCTTCTCAAATACACATGGAACGTTTTCCAGGATAGCACATATGTTAGGCCACAAAATGTGTCTTAATTAATTGAAGAGAATTGAAACCATATCAAGCATCTTTTCCAGCCACAGTGTTAGGGAACTAGACATTAATAACACAAAGAAAACTGGAAAGCTCAAAAATAATGTGGCGATTAAACAATATGCTACTGAGTAACTAATGGGTCAAAGAAGAAATCAAAAGAGAAAAAAATACCTTGAGACAGAATTATCATATGGTTTCTCTTATTTGTGGAGCATAAGGAATAACACAGAGGATATGGGGAGATGGAGAGGAGAAGGGAGTTGGGGGAAATTGGAGGGGGAGACAAACCATGAGAGACTGTGGACTCTGAAAAACAATCTGAGGGTTTTGGAGGGGAGGGGGGTGGGGGTTGGGTGAGCCTGGCGGTGGGTATTACGGAAGGAATGTATTGCATGGAGCACAGGGTGTGGTGCATAAACAATGAATTCTGAAACACTGAAAAGAAATTTAAAAAATAAATTAAATTTAAAAAAAAGAAAAGAAATATACCAAAATTTGTGGGATGCAGCATAAACAATTCTAAAGGGGAAGTTCTTAGAGATAAATACTTACCTCAAGAAACAGAGTCTCAAACAACTTAATTTTGTACCTCAAAGGACTAGAAAAAGAACAAATGAAGCCCAAAGTTAGTGGAAGGAAAGAAATAACAGATTAGAACAGAAACAAATGAAATAGGGACAGAAAAGATAATAGGGAAGACCAGTAAAACTAAAAGCTGGTTCTTTGAAAAGATAAACAAAATTGACAAATCTTTAACTATATTCACCAAGAAAAAAAGAAGAGGGAATTCAAATTAGGTTCAAATAAATAAAATCAGAAACGAAAGAAATGTTATAACTAATATAATTTTCTAGGACCTATTATTCAGAAACATCCCCACCCCTTTTTAAACTTATTTCATTTTAAATAACCACTTTCCACAGGTAATTAATGCACTTGGAGTTGATGTTACTCCCCGACCTCTTTACCAACAAGACCCACATATGGGAACAGCAAAGCCAAATAAACTATTTACATCACAAGAAGGATCATATGGATCAGAATATATATCCTCCTATAGCCTGTATCAGAATACAATAAATCCTAGTATGTTAGGGCAGTTTACAAGGTAGAGTATACTATTCTATTGTTCTTTTTTATATCATACGTACTGTCTTTTTATTTCAGTTGCATATATGTAACTTAGAAGTCAGTTGTCTTCAGACTCCCAACTCCACTCTACATTAGTGTGCCATCTTGGTGTTCCCCTCATGTTTTACTTAGATGTAGAACTTTGCATGACTTAAGAGTTCCCTGATACACCAAAACCTTTGTGAGCGATATATGTAGATTTTACTCAAGATTTCCTGAGGAACCAAAAGGTGGGGCTAGCATCACATACCCACAGACATACTTCTTCAGTTTCTTCTCTGTTGCAATTGATGGGAAGAAGTAGCTTTCCTTTTCTGTGGCCCCCAACTCCATTCTTCCCTGCAAATCCCTCTTCTCCTAGGGTTTGATTTCTCTTCTGTTTCATAATTTTTTTTAAATGAAATGTTACGCATGTATTATGTAGACACATTACTGAAATTTTTTGAATGCTTAAAGTGGAGAAGTTCAGAGTCTTCGCAATAATAAAACATGATGTTCTAAAATAATCTAAAGATTATGGGGAAATATTTGAATGTGTAATTTTCAATCTGACAAATTAAAAGTTCCAGATGTTAACTAAGCACAAAATTTAAGAGAAAATATGCTGTTCGAGAGTCTGCCTCCAAATTTGCACAGAGTAGTCATAGCAGTGCTCCACACAACAAATAATATTCCTGTAAACTGAACCTCTCCTTTTGGAGGACAGTTGGACTTATAAATAGAAAAGGAAAAAAGGTATATAATATCAAGAAGTAATACTAAGTTCATTGTTCAAGGAAATTATTTTTGTATTCTTTAGTTTGTTGATTTCCCAACCAGTATATAGATTTTCTTTTAATTAAATCTTGAGAGGACCATTATAAAATTGAAAAAATCACATTTAAGATGGGATTTGAATGATGAGCAGGAAATTGGTGAAAAATGAAAGGAGGTTCCAGGCTGAGACTCTAAAATAGGAGAGCACCACAAGATTGAGGAAAAGTGGGGCAGGGGAAGAGTGATAATGGAGATGGAGAGACTGGATAGGTAGACTGTATTTTAGCTTTTTATTCTAAATATATTGGGAATCCATCGAAGGACTTTAGACATCGGTTTGACATGTTTTCTCTCTAAAATATATTTATAATGACTTTTTACTTAAGGAGCACTACAAACCAACTCTGTTTCAAGAAGTAGTCTCTTTTTATCAGTGTTTCTTACATGATTATATTATATTTGATTTCTCACTATGATAATGTTTTTATTTATATATTTAATTACCCATAAGAATACCTAAATAAATGAGTAATGTTTTTCATTATTAAAGGTCAGTTTTAGGAAGTAGTACAGTTTCTAAATCAAGTTTATCTACTACTGACTCAATAGCAGAAGACCTCGAAGAACCATCCTACAGACGGGAAAAACTGACTAGTTTTACAGGTAATGAAAATAATGTCATTTATTTCAGTAACAGCCCATTATTTCCTTAGCAAATATGCTTATGATTTGTCAGGTACTTGAGATAAAAGAACTATGATAATGATTCCCAAAGGCTGGACTGAGGAGTAGCTACATGAGAATTACCAAGGTAGCGTACAAGTTCCCAGGGTGACTCACTGGCACCACCCAGCCTTAGGAGTGCTTTTAACTCAGGAGGCAAGTCCTTCTGATATATTGTGATCAGTGTCCTAATAGGACATATGCCAATGTAATGGGAGCGCTTTGAATGTGAAGATTAACATCTTGAAGGTGGGGAAAGAAAAAGAATTCATAGAGAACATTATAGACTTTTGAATTGGGTTTTTAAAGGTGATTGGTAATTTGTCAGGAGAACAAATAGGAGTGGCTCCTTCCAGGCAGAGCATAAAACATGAGATAAACGGTTATGAAAATGAAGATATAAGAATGACAAAATAATGGCTGATCAAAAGTGCTGGAAGAAATAGGTACCTACCTAAGGAACATTTGCCTCGGAGTGCAGTAAGGGTGTCTCTTCCTCTGAGATGATAATGAGGGTTGATGAAAGTATTCATAAGGTTGGGAAGGTGCTTGAGAGAGTCTTTGGTGTTAAGATATGTAATAACAATGCTCTGACAACAAGTAAGAGAATACCCAACTACATTAGCTTAAACTATCACCTATTTTTCTCACATTAAAAGAACTTGAAAGGTCAATACTTTTGAATTTGATTTTGTGTCTTGACTGTCAGACTCTTTGACAGCTCTGCTAATTCTCTTTCCTTAAAACTTTTCTTTTCACTTCTTGCTTTTTGCTTTTTGCTCCATGGTCTCAAAATATCTGCCCCAGCTGTGGGTATTATATCCACAATCGAGGCAGAAAGAGGGAGAAAGGCAGTAGCTTCAGTCGTGTCACCCTTATTTATCAGGAAAGTAAAAATTTCCCCAGGAGCCGCCTTCTTTCCTATATATTTCCACTGTTCTCTCATTGGTCAGAGCTCTGTCACATGGTCACCTCTAGCTTCAAGAGAGGCTAAGAAAGCTAAACACTTGATTTTCTTCGTGGAAAGAGCAAGAGAAAGAAGAAAGCCTTAGCAATGAAAACTTAGGCAATCCGCAGTGTCTGCAGCAGCAGGGAAGATCATCCTCTCAGAGGGAGACCGGAGGATATGATTATTATAATCTCTCCCAGCGTCAGAGGGATTGAATACATCCCGCAACATGGTCTGTTCTTTGACCACATAAAGCCACCTCCAATGCATGACCCATCATGATACTTTGGTAAAATGAAAATTAAAAATAGCAATTAGTAAATGATTTTTATTAAGTCATGTATTTTAGATTTACGAGTTGTGAGGGCAACACCTGAAAAAATTGTAACAAAAGAAGACCTACAGAAGACTATAGAGATAATACTCACAGAGACAGAAACACTGAGGTTTTTTAACCTACCAACAGTCATGGTTTCTGTGGAATCTGAAGAAGCTGCGAAGGTCATGTACGTATGGCTCAATTGTCTATTTGCTTCTGTAATTTAAGTGCTAAGTCAGGGGTTCTTATCCTTGTTTCTGTTTTTGGGGATTCCTGGATAAATAGTGGTGGCATATGTGCTTGGTGAAATTATATATAAAGTTATTTATGTGCCCTATGAAGTGATATGTAAAGTATTTATGTTGTATTTACTTCTTTTCTGGAGGAAGAACCCATAGCTTTACCTTATTCTTCAAAAAGTAGGTAAACTACTAAATCAAATAATAAAAGAAATAAAAGAAGCTTCAAAGTTTCAATATATATTTTAATGATTTTTTCTTTTATGCTTGTATAAATTATGTCCAGTTTAAAAAGAAAGGACTGACATTTTTATATTAAAAACTTAAGGAAAATATGTAATGGGAAAATAACTGAATTTACTGTATTAGAGCAGATTTTCCATTTCTCCTTATTAATTAATTTAAATAGGTCTTTAGTTTTTGCCTTGTGTATTTTGAAATTTTGTTGTTAAATACATACACATGAAGGATTGTTATGCATTTTTTGGAGAATTGACCTTTTTATCATTATGTAATGCCCCTCTTTTCTCTAGTAATTTGCCTTGCTCTGAAGTCTGCTCTGTCTGAAATTAATTTGGCTACTAAAAATAGATTATTGATAGTTATTCAGATTATTTAGATTCAAATATACTTTGAATATGATTAATAGTACTAAAAAAATCCATCATTAAAATATTTTTAAGGCATTATTCTTATCCAAATATAAAATGACCTAGAATTTTTTTTGGACTTCAAAATATAGTACAAGTAGATCCTGAATAACATTCTTTGAAGCTCATAAGACATAAGGGTAAGCTCTTAACATCAAAAAAAGGAAAGTAAAGAATAGCAAATGGATAAATAAATGATCTGAAATCAGAGAGGGAGAGATACTAGAAGCAAATGTTAAAATTAGCACATGGATCTAGAGTCTATTAAAATCGTTGGTCCCTGGCAAATTGAGATAACTGAAAGAGATATTTTTGTATTAATCAACGACCCTTAAAAGGATTTCAGTTATCTCAATCAATCCTAGGTCTCATAGCTACTATCTTAAGCAAACATGAATTTTCTCTGGAGGAAATCATATCCCATTTAGACTTCTAAGATTCCCTCAGCTTGAGTTTGGTAAAAATACACCAAACCAATAAAGAAGCCATTATGAATGAGAATTAAAGCAATAACAAACCCTAGATTTACATCATGAGATCTGTGGATAATGAGATTTTAATAGGGCTATATTATGAGATATAGAATATAGAATATGTGTGAAATATTTAAATAAAAGATAAAGTTAACACCGTACTAACATTAAGAACCTATCAAAATGATGACTCATATTTGTAAAAACATTAAAAATAACTGTAAAATAAAGTATACTTATATAATTGTTGAGATTAAAAAGTAAATGTTAAATTTAAACAAGGCATAATTGAACAGAGATTTAATAAATTGAAATATAGATCTGGATAAATTATACAAAATAAACCTTGGAGAGAAAAATGTGATATAAAGTATAAAGAGAAGATAAAGACATCAACAATAGAATAAAGGTCTAACATGCATCTGGTTAGTTTCAAAAAGTCAAAATAGGAAGAATGGAGGAGGGGAACTATTCAAAAGAGTGGGTAAGGACTTTCCCAAGCTCTTAAAAGACACCATGTCACAGAAACAGGAATAAATTAAAAAAAAAAAAAATCCACAAAAATGAAGTGGATTCAACACATTGTACTGATAGTCCAAGATATCAAATATTAAAAGATTTTAAAAACAGAAGAAAAAAAGAAAGAAAAGGCATATCATCCGCAGAGAAACAATTAAGCCAACAGCATTATTGGGGCAAAGAAGTTCACTTCATAATGACAGGAAGGTAAAAATAATTTCAATCTTAAATATTCCTAATAAAATAACCTCAACATATATGAAGCACAAATTAAAAACTTGGTAAGTATCCTACTAAGGTAGGAGATTTAAACATGCCTCTCTTAATTACTTTATGTCAACCAGATAAAAAATTCACATAGATATTGAAAATTTGGACCAGAAACATAATTTAATGATCACAACTCTTCATTCAACAATTAGAGACCATACACTCTTTTCAAGCACCCACAGAACATTTATAAAAATCATCCATGCAGAAGGCCATGAATCAAGGTTTCAAAAATTTCAAAGAAATAGTACCATACAAACTAAATTCTCTGGCCACAAATGGAATTAAGTTAAAAATTAATAACATAAACCTCAATAAAAACACAGATACAAAAAAAAAAAAAACACAGATACATATTCACATACACATTTGGAAGTTACAAAGCACATTTTCTAAATTCCTCATGAATCAAAGAAGAAACCATAATAGAAATTTAAGAAATACTCAGAATTAAATAGTTATGAAAAGACAACCTACAGGATGACACAAAAGTGGTACCTTAAGGGAAATGTGTAGTTTTCAGTGTTTACAACAAAGTTCTTAAAACCTATCTGGAGATAGTGCTAGCATATTGTTGGTGGGCACTGACAGTAGTAGGGATGCTGGGAGGTACAGTAAATAGAATCCTTTGGAGGTGATTTAGTGCAGTCTTTCCTTAAAGGGTTTTTTAAACTCTCACTTCATGTTTGGTGCAATCCACATTAAAGAAGGTAATTTGAAAGAGAAAGCATAATATAAAGAAGAAAGATCTGTGGTAATAATTTTTATTAATGAGTTAAATATTTGTTTTTTATAGTCGGAGAAACAGGACTTATGAGACCCTCTGTAGAAATAGATTAGGCAATGACTTATATGTTGAAAGGATGATGCAGACTATTAATGGAGCTCCAAAGAATAAAGAGGTTCAATGTGACAAAATCGTAAAGGAAGACAAAGGTAATTTATATTTTATTCTGCTTGATAAATGACCATATTTTAATGAACATTCTTTGAGTCTGTCAATTAAGAAATTAATATTGAAACATACAAAGCAAAAATAGAAATACTTTGGCCAAATCACAATAATAGCTGGGTACTGTAATCTACAGCTTTTAGAATTTGACAAATAATGAGTAATAAATACAAATATAAAAGATTTAGATGACATAATTATCAATTTTGATTTTTAGAGAAACTCTATTATAGAATTTTATACTCTTCAACTGTTTATGAAATGTTTGGAGAAACTGCCTGCTTACTATTACAGAGTATCAACCATAACTAATAACATTTAAAATGTGCCAGGTGCTATTCTAGGCCTTTCACTTATATTAACTGGTTTAATTCTCACCACAACCCTATGAGATAGGTACTATTGTTACTTTCCATTTTGGAGGAAGAAAGAAGCAAAGAGAAGTTAGCCAACTTGCTGAAGTCACTCAGCTATTACAGTACACAGTAATACCCTTAGACAGTCTGGTTCTAGAGCCTGTGTCCTTTATTACACTTACTGTCTTTCAGTGTTTATAAATTAATAACCCTGCATAGCCAACAATCTGTGAAGTAGGGCCAAAAGTAATTAAAAGAAAGTTTTTAATTTTTAATGGCCTTTGTTGTTCAGCAAAACTATAAGCTAGTTCTTCTGAAAGATTAAAATAGACAAACTTCTAAGCAAGTACTAAATTTAAAAAAAAGCAACTTATAATTAGTAGGAAAGCTTTTGGCATCTTAATTATAATTAGTAGGAAAGCTCTTGCCATACTCCCCTTACAAATGTGGTGGTGGTCTTAAAGACAGCAGTCTGCTGTCCCAGTTTGAGACCCTGGCCTCTGGTTCCAGAAGGAGCAGAGCAGACTTTATTCTTAACGGAGTTGATTTCTCTGTTTCAACCTGTCTAGGAGCTACCTGAAGGACTGACACAGAGCACTTGTCTTATTATTATTATTTTTAAATTCAGCACTCTCAGGTGGTAAAGCCGCTGTGCATACTGCATTCTTCACAAATACTGAAAGGCAAATGAACAGCTCAGCTCTCTTAGAGGCAAGAGAATACAATGGAGTCAAACAAGAAACACCCTAAAACCCTGAGAGAAAAAGCTAGGGAGGGAGTTTCTTTAGGAAATTAAGATATTGAAAGAGGCTTGCATATACAGGGAAATTTAGAGAGTCCTGTGCATGCCTGGGGCAGGATGCATGCTCAGAAAAGACTTGAAAAGATCCTAATCTTTCACCTCTGGCTGATCTCTAGGCTCAGTACAAACAGGAAGTGAAGGCTAAGGCATAGTTGTAAACAGTCTGGCTAAGCATTAAAAGAACACCTTAACACAGACTCAATCTACAAAGACTGGGAGTTTTTTTCCCCTTTGCTTTTTTGTTTTGTTCTTTTTTTCTCTTTTTCTTTTCTCTTTGCTCTCTTTTTTTTTTCTGATGGGGAGAGAAATTCAGATGTTCAAGGAAATCTCTGTCAGGACACCTGCTGACCAAAAGCCAAAAAGCAAACACTTCTAAGATGATAGTAACAAAGAATACAGTCTTTATAAAAATAGCTTAGAAACACCACTAAGCAAACAAACAACTAGGACTCACAGAAAACTACAAAAAAAAAAAAAACCCAAGGACCAAGAAGAATCTGATTTCCAGAGTTGCCACATTATTATATTCAAACTGTTCAGTTCTCAAAAAAAAAAAAAAAAAAATTACAAAGGACAGAAAGAAATAAGAAAGCATAGCCTGTTTAAATAAGAAATCAACAGAAACTCCCTGTGGAAATACAGACATTGCATTTATCAGCCAAAAACTTTTTATCAATTGTATTATATATTCTGATAAGGCTAAAGGAAACTGTGGACAAAAAGCTAAAGCAAACCAGAATGATGTACAAACAAATAAAGAATAGGAATAAAAAAAAACCAAACAAATACTAGAGATTAAAAGTATAATAACTGAAATGGAAAAACTCACTAGAGTTATGAAGAGCAGATTTGAGCAGGCAGAAGAAAAAAATCAGCAATTCTTAAAAGACAGGTCAATAAAAATAATCCAGTCTGAGGAGCAAAAAGAAGAATAAGAAAAATGAACACAGCTCAAAGGACCTATGGAGCCCCACCAACCATACCAACATAAACATAAAGGGAATTTCAGAATGGTAGAAGAAAAAAAAGATAAACAAAAAACATTTGAGGAAATAATGGCCAAAAAACTTCCAAAATTCAATAAAAGTCATGAATCTGCATGTCTGAGATGCTCAATAAACTCCAAAAACGATAAGCAAAGAGATCTTATAATTAAGTGTTAAAAGGGAATTTGAAAGCAGCAAAAGAAAAGGGACTTATTACATATAAGGAATCCTCAGTAGGATTACACCCAATTTCTCAGCAGAAATCATGGAGTCCAGAGATCATTGGGATGCCATACTTAAAGAGATGAAAGAGAAAACTGTCAACCAAGAATTCTATATCCTTCAAATAATTCTAATGATGGAGAAATTACATAAAATAATTAAGATTAAATATATTCCCATGAAGGAGAAATTAAGATTTCCCCGGATAACAAAAGCTAAGGCAATTCAGCACAAATAGAGTAGAATATGAGAAATACTAAATACTTATGAGAAATACTAAAGGGAGTCCTTAAGGCAGAAATGAAAGGACACCACAGACAGTAACTTGAAGACATGAAGAAACAAAGGACACTGGTAAATGTAGCTACGTAGATAAATACAAAAGCAGTATTATAATTTTGGTTTGTCTCTCCTCTATTTTTTGTAATATAATTTAAAATAAATACATAAAACAATAATTATAAATCTATAGTAATAGGCACACAGTGTATAAAGATATAATTTGTGCCATCAACATAAAGTGAGTGTGATAGAGCTGTATAGGAGTTCCTGTATACTACTAAAGTAAGGTAGTAGTAATTCACAATAGATTGTTAAATTTTTAAGAAATTGATTGTAATCTCTAAAGTAATCACCAAGAAAATAAGTTAAAATTTTCAAAAAAGAAAATTAGGAATCAAAGCAGAACACTATTAAAAAATCAAGTAAACACAAAAGACAGTAATGGAAGAATTGAGGAACAAATACATAAGACATGAAGAAGACAAAAATGGCAGAAGTCCTTCCTGAAGAATAATTACTTTGAATAAATAGATAAACTCTCCAATGAAAAAGCAGATTTATACATAATTTATATATTTATATATAATACATATTTATATTATATTTATATATTTTATATATTATATCTATAATTATTACATATTTTATATATTTATATATAATTCATATATTTATATTACAATTATATAATAATTGTATATATGATACAATTAATAATTGTAATATAAATATAATATAAAATATATTATTAAATAAAATATAATAAATAAATAATTAAATAGAATAAATAAAATCTTAAATATATGTATTTAAGTATATATATTTAAGGGGCACCTGTGTGGCTCAGTGGGTTAAGCTGCTGCCTTCGGCTCAGGTCATGATCTCAGGGTCCTGGGATCGAGTCCCACATCGGGCTCTCTGCTCAGCAGGGAGCCTGCTTCCCTCTCTCTCTCTGCCTGCCTCTCTGTCTACTTGTGATCTCTGTCTGTCAAATAAATAAAATCTTTAAAAAAAAAAAGTATATATATTTAAGATTTTATTTATTTATTTGACAGACAGAGATCACAAGTAGGTAGAGAGGCAGGCGACGGGGGTGGGGGAAGCAGTCTCCCTGCCAAGCAGAGAGCCTGATGTGGGGCTCGATCCCAGAACCCTGAGGTCATGACCTGAGCCGAAGGTAGAGGCTTAACCCACTGAGCCACCCAGGTGCCCCAAGAACATTACATATTGATAAAAGATTCAATTCGTAAAGAAGATATAACAATTATAAACATACGTATTTAACAAAAGAGCCTCCAAATATACGAAGCAAAAATTGACAGGATTGAAGGAAGAAATAGACCGTTCCAGTAAGAGTTGAGACTTCAGTACCCCACTGTCAATAATGAGTTGAACAACCAGAGAGATTATCAATTTAAAAAATGAGGACCTGAATAATAACATAACCTAGATATAGCATACATGCACAGAACACACCATCCCCAAATGGCAGAATACACACTTTTTTCTCAAGTTCACATGGAAAACTCTCCAAAATACATCATTATGTTAGGCCACAAAACAACAGATAATAAAATTTTAAAAATTGAAATCTTTTCTGCCACAATGTAATGATACTCATAATGTGTAACAAAAGGAAAACTGGAAAATTTAAAAATATTTGTATATTAAACAACACACTCTTAAACAACCAGGGGATCAAAGATGAAAGCACAAGGGAAACTAGAAAATATTTTGAGACAAATGAGAATGAAAATACAACATAGCATACTTACAAGATGTAGAGGAAGTAGTATTTAAAGAGAAATTTATAGCTGTAGATATATTTTAAAAGATCTCCACTTGAAACTAATGTAGCATTATGTATCAATTCTACTTCAATAAAAAAGTAATTTAAAAAATCAGTAACTTTACACCTTAAGCAATGAAATAAAGAAGATAAAACTACAAAAGCCAGCATAAGGAAGGAAATAATAAAAATTAGAGTGGAGATAAGCAAAATGAGAAAAAAAAATTCAATGAAACTAAAAGTTGGTACTTTGAAACGATCAACATAACTGCCAAAATTTTTCTTAGACTGACTAAGAAAGAATAGAAGATTCAAATTACTAAATGGGAAATGGAAGTGGAGACATAACTACTGACATTACAGAAATACAATCATTTATTAAAAAATGAACATCCATATGTCAATAAATTAGATAACTAAATGAAATGAACACATTCCTAGAAACTCACAACTTGTGAAAACTGACTCAAAAAGAAATAGAATATCTGGACAGAGGTATAATAAGTAAAGGTACTGGATTAATAATCAAAACTTCCTAATAAAGGAA